AGCGCCCAGGGCAGCGCCCAGCACCCCGCAACAGCCAGCAGCGCCCGTGCACGCTGCGCGCTGCACGCGGCAGGCTGCTGGCCGAGCCTAGCCTATGATCGGTTCGGTCGGACCGCGACCGGTCCAGACCGGTCCAGACCAGCTGACCGGTTCAGCTTCATTTTAAGTCCGGTTCAGTCCTAATTTAGTCTGGTTCGTTTATGATCAGCCCGGTTCATGTCTTAAGGTCATTTTCAGTAAATTTTCGGGATTAATTCAGTTCAGTAAATTCATGTCCAAATCAGTTCAGATTAAGTCAGTTCCGGTTATTCCAGATAAGTCTAAAAAGCATATTAAGTTAAATAGAGCATCTTAACGAAAATAATCAGTTAAGTTAACAGCCTGAGCATAGTCAATAGTAATTGTTTATATTATTTTCAGTTTAGCAGGCATCAGCACTACCTTTCAGTTCAGCATTTCAGGTGGGGACTCAGACTAAGTACTACATTGTTTATAATTGCTCTACTATGTTCGAGGTATGTATTTTCAGTATCCGCTCGGAATGGCCGCCGGTCCATTCTGGGTTCTAGTGGCCCTAGTCTGCCCACTAGAGTGTGCACATGGTGTCCGGTTCGCCGGCAGATGTTCAGTTCAGATGTGACTTATGTCACTACGTGGCTTCGGTCACGAGATCAGTTATCAGTTACGTGACTTATGTCGCGAGTTCAGACCGGTATCAGATTCAGTTCAGTTATATATGCTTAGTTCATGATATTGTTATTATTTACAATGTTTTACATTAGTATGAGTTTCCACGGAGCACAGTGCCTTAGTGCTCACTCCCCAGTTTTATCATGTTTTTCAGGGCAGGATGTCGGGCCGGGAGCGTGACGTGGCGTGACGGGACCTTCAGGATATTTATATATGTTTTGGACTGTATAAATATGATTATAATTTACGCTTCCGCTTATCTTTTGATGACTTGTGATGATGTTTTGATATCTTTTGACGTATGCTTTTGACGAACTCATCACTTTGGTGAACTTTTAAGAAAATAAAGTTTTCAGTAACCGGACGTTTTTATTAAGTTAAAACAACGGTTTTCCAAGTTAAGTAACTATTTTTCACGGTAGCACCCCAAAACAGTTTCGCGAAGTAAAAAGGTTTTATTTTTCAAAGACTTTGCGAATTATTGCGCTACTCTGATTTTACAGTAAGGTGGGGTGTTACAAAAGCTATATGTCATTCAATTTTCTGGCAATTCCGATCAAAATAGTAACACAACTAATAAGTAAAAACCAAACTGCAAAAGAATTGCAACAACAAAAAGGGTTGAAAATGGTTGTTGCACAAACAAAACAAACAAACCAGTATTCAACCGAGCTCCACAAATTAACCCACAAGTTTTTTGACCTACAACTGAAGGCTAAGCCCCTGCAAAAATTTAATCTTCGATTAGCATATTTTGAGGAACTTGGAAAGTAAACTGCCCTGACCAGCAGTAATCTTTCGGACAACCTCGGCAGGACTCCACGACTGAATAGCCTCAAAAATCCTATCACCAACTTCGACAGTCTCAACACGTGTCAGGCAAGACTCGACCATTTTGAACACTTTCCCGGGCCCACTTTGTCTTTCTTTACTATGAATGGAGGAAAATATGGGATCAAACTCGGTATCGAGTTTATTGAGTTGTTCTTCCGACCATTTTGTCACCAACTCCAGCGTATCACATAAGGAGCCGATTGAGATCTGTATCTTGTGCAATAGCTGAGAATTCGATTGCTCCACGGCCCCAACTTTTTTTTTTTTTGGTCCCAAAGGGAGCAATGACCGACCGCACGATTGGATGATTAGGGCATGCCAGGCTAAGGGCTCGGTCACCAGCTGTGCAAGAAACGAGATATCATTACCTGGAGAAGAAGCTGTGGGTCCCGCGGATTTAATAGTCTCGAGGACGTATTTGCTCCGCAGATTATTCACAAGGTTCCAAGTACTGCTTGTGGCCTCGTGATAATTTAGATTCCAGGCATTATTCAAGAAAATGGTGAAATTCATCCAGTCAATGATATCAGGATTTGGTGCCTGTAAGTGTACATTGTTAATTAGCTTCGAACATTAAAAGAAAGATATGTCTTGCAGAACAATGAACAACTGCAAGTAACGTTATGAAGTTAGTTAGCCGAGTGCTAGGGTTTGTTCTCTGCGGAGATGTCGAGTTCCATTAATTGGATTAGCAACAATTCCTTCTTGAGCATCTTCTTCCTGCTTCGTGTTCCTTGTTACTCTTGATTCTCCTCGTCTAGCAGCTTTTTTAGTATTTAGATTCTTCTTCCTGAGTCTTTCGTCGTATTCTGTCCAGGCTTTTTTGTGGTTCTTATTGGGGGTAGTTTGTTGGTGTCTCTAAGGTGGGTCTTCTAGGTCATTTTCTCTCTGTCATTTGCCTTACTTTGTTTCTTGCCTATGTGTTTTTGTTATCCTTTTATCTGTGTGTTTAATTTGAGCTTTATTTGCATATTATTATCATTTCTGTGTTTGTTTGTGCCAGTAGATTAGCCGAATGGAGCAAGAGATTTCTAATAAACTTCTTAAATTTAAAATTTCTGATAGGGACGGGTTAGGAGTTGATCTTTCTAATGAAGATATTGCCCCTAGCCTTAAGGATTGCCAGCTTAGTCTAATTGCACAGGTTTTTGGGGACAAAAAGGCTAATTTCAATGGTATTAGGGCAACTCTTAATAGCATTTGGATGACTAAGAAACCTTTCACTGTTAAATCCTTGGGTAACAATAAATTTCAGTTTTTGTTTCAATGTGAGGAAGACAGAACTAAGATTTTGAAAGGTAAAACTTGGTCATTTGATAGCCAATACATTCTTTTAAAACACTGGAACCCTAGAAATATTGAGTTTACTTATGAAGAGGAAATTATAAAAATTTGGGTGCATGTCATGAATTTACCATTGCATTGGATAACATATGAAACAGGTGTGAAGATTGGTAAAAGGATAGGGAACCGTCTGGATGTTCAAATTCATGAACCTGGGAGTCAACAAGGTCAAGTGATGAAGGTTTTGGTTGAACTTAATGTTAATGAGCCTATCCTTACAGGATCTTTCATCAGAGTGGGGCCTGAATCCACTTGGGTGGACTTCAGGTATGAAAATCTACAAACTTTTTTCTTTTATTGTGGGTGTATTGGACATGATAAGAAAAATTGTGCTCTAAGATCTGAAGGTGTGAATAGTAATGTGTCTAATAAGAGACAATATGGGGATTGGCTGAGAGCAACTCCTCTTTTCTCCTCTGAGAACAAATCCCAGGCTAGTTCTAATCAAGGGAATCAGTCTTCTGGTAAGGAACCATCTGCGAATCCTAATCAGAATAGGTCTCAAATAGGAGCAGAGTGGAGTGGTAAACAGAATGACTCCTTGTCCCAAGGGAAAATGTTAATTAGGGGAGAGGGTTGTAATCAACCTGAATCTGGTGGCAATACCAAAATCCCTGTGCAAGAGTCTATCACCAGTTCTTCTTTAGAGGCTCAACCTATGGCTAGTCCTCTTAAGGTTGTGGAACCTTTGTCTGATGATCAATTAGTGGATGTTGCTATTCAGCCATCTACTATTGGAGCGAGGATAGTCCATAGGAAAAAAGCTACCTTTACTAGGAAATCCAGACCTAGTTTTGTTCCTAGTTCTGAGAGTACGCATATTGATGTCTCAGAGGGTGTTCTGAATTTAGTGGGTGATAAGGGTAAACGTAAAAGGGGCAGTGAAGCTCTTGTTTCCAATAACTTACCTTTGGAGGAAGTAGGTTCCAAAGAGAAAAAAAAGTAAGCTGTCTAAGGTGGCTTCTCTGTCTGTGGTGGAGGAAACCAGCCCTAACTGGTCCCAAAGTTTCCAATGAAAGCCTTTGTGTGGAATTATAGAGGTCTAGGGGGACCCTCTACAATTTCCCAGTTCAAGGACTGCTTAAGGACCCACCACCCTGATTTTGATTTTCTTTCTGAAACAAAAAAAAAAAAAAAAAAAAAAA